CCCCCCCCCCCCGGCCGGGTGATTGCGCAATGCTGCCCGAGCGTGCGATCCGGCCGGCCTGTCGCCAGACCGGCCGGAATCAGGCCACCAGGGCGCCCGCCCGAGCCCTTTTGCCGGCGGCGCGCCTTCCGCTGGGAGGGCCCGATACACGACGCTCTTCCGATCTGGGGTGATTGCGCAATGCTGCCCGAGCGTGCGATCCGGCCGGCCTGTCGCCAGACCGGCCGGAATCAGGCCACCAGGGCGCCCGCCCGAGCCCTTTTGCCGGCGGCGCGCCTTCCGCTGGGAGGGCCCGAGCGGAGCGCCCCTTGGTCGTGCGCGCGCGCGCGCGCGCGTGTGGCCCCTTCCCCGGGCCGACGATGGGACAGCTTCGATGGCATTTTCCGATGGCCCCTCTCGGCCGGCGCGTGCCCGCCCGTAGGGGCGGCTTGCCATGCCGGCGGACTTCTCACCCAGACGGGGCTAGCGCCCGGGCAAGTCGAAGCCGCTCCGCGCAGCAAGATACCGACCAGCGTCTGCCCCACCCAGATCGGAAGAGCACACGTGACGATGGGACAGCTTCGATGGCATTTTCCGATGGCCCCTCTCGGCCGGCGCGTGCCCGCCCGTAGGGGCGGCTTGCCATGCCGGCGGACTTCTCACCCAGACGGGGCTAGCGCCCGGGCAAGTCGAAGCCGCTCCGCGCAGCAAGATACCGACCAGCGTCTGCCCCACCCTCTCGCGCCTGGCGGCCGGCCGCACTAAGCGGGCTTCCCCCGCCCCCGGCGTCCCCGTGAATGAGGCCGCCGCGGGTGCCCCCAGCATGCGGGCCAGCTCCGGCGGCGTGCCCTGCCCCCGGGGGAGCGTATCATGCCGGCAGCACACACAGCTAGGCATCTTCCCTGGCGAAGGGCCGCCAGTGACACCGGGCACCGGCCCTCTCGGCGGTCCGGATGTGCCTCAACTGTGGTCATGCCGCCGGCCATGAAGGGGGGCGGGCAGACGGCCTTTTCGACGGAATCCGCGATCATCCACACGCACCAGCCACATGCGGCCCAGGCGCCCCGGCACACCAAGATGATGTCCCCTTGCGTGGCAGGGAAGCATGCTCCGCCAGGCCCGGCAGACGCGTCTCCCCGGTGCGGGGGATCTCCGGCGCGCAGGCCGTCCACCGGGCATCCGGCAAACCGCCCCTCATGCCGGGAGCCCTGCGGACCCCTCCGTCGCACATGCAGACCCCCCCGTCGGGTCGTGTGCATGACCATGGCCCGGGAGGGGGAGGCGCAAGAGCGGCGCCGGCAGGGCCCCGGCTCGTCCCAGCTGTCAGACGGGCCCGGGCCTCGCCAGTCCGCCCCCGCTGCCCGGCACGGCGGCGCCGGGAGAGGGGGGCTCGGGCGCGCACATTAACCGAGGCGTCTTAACTGTGATTTAGGATTTGCCACGAGCCCGCGTGAAAGGCGCGCCGCCCCCGGCTCCGGCGGGCAGGCCGTCGCGGCCCCGGGCGGGGGAGGGAGAGATGGCGCCAGCCGCCGTCTCGGCTGGTCGGACGGGGGGTCTCAGCACCTGGTAACCGAAGCCGGGCCGCACCTGCGCCGACTTGGCGGCGACCTCGTCACCGAGGCCCGTGGCAGCTCGAGCACCGGGCGCCTGTGTCCGGCGGCTGATGCTAGTGTTGTGAGACCGGCGAGCGTCCAGGCCCCGGGCCAGCAATGGCCAATGCGCCCCGAGCGGCCAACATCCAAGCGCGGGTCCCAGATCGTGCCCATGGCCCACTGCCGCTGCCTTTCGACGGTGGCGGGACACATTGGCGCTTGGCCGCCAGGCAGACACACGTCTACCGCGGCCACTCTGGTTGGCGGACGCGCAGCCCCCCTTAGGGCGCTGGACGGCCCCTTTTTGCCGCCCTGGCTGGCCTGGGGCCCGCTTGGGCCGGGCTTCGCCGCGAGGCAGGCCGGTCGCCCGGACATGCAGCCGCGTTCGCTCCACATTCCGGCCGAGACGCCCCCCGGGAGCCAGGAGGTCGTGCCATCCGGAGGAGCCGCATGAAAATGCCATGTCACTGGTCGCGTATGCACCGGGGGGAGGGGCCAGCGGGCTTGTGTGCGCCCCCGTGCGAGGGAGCGGCATTGGCCCGGGCCATGGGGCGTTCCCCCCCCCCTTTTTTTTGGGGCGTGACCCTCCGGCGTCGGCTCCCCTCGCGCCACGAGCACCCGTCCACGCAGGAGGGGGATTGCGCAACTCGGATTCCACGCCCGGCCCCCCTCTCCCGGGCACCGGATGTGCATATGGAGAGCAGCAGCCGGCGGCCGGCGACCGGCGACCGGCGACCGGCGACCGGCTGGAAGAGACGCGACACAAAAAAACGCACACCCCCAAAGAGGCGCAGGATCCGAGAGGCGCCGGCCAAGCAACAGGGACCGCGATCTGGGAGCCGGGCAGGAAGAGGGGGGGGGGGGAGAACTCCCGCAAACGCGCGATCTGACTGTTCTCCCCCCCCCCCCCCCCCATCACCGGCTCCCGGCGGCCACAACAGAGCCGGGTGTTTTGATTTCGCCCCGCCGCCGCTGCCGTCGAAAATGGGTCGCATGGCGTGCGGAGCCCCCCGGGCCGACCGCATGGTCCGGTGGCAAGTGCGCCGGGGCGGCCCGCGGGTCGGGGTGCTCACGGCGACACGGCGAATATTCACCCCACCCGCGCCTGCATGTCTCCTCCACCCGGAGACACCGCCACGCGCGCGACGGCTTTTTTCCCTGGGGGCCTGCCAGCGATTGCGCAATCCGCCAGCCCGGCGGGCGCCCCTTTATTCCTCGCTTCCCTTCCCGCCTCATTCCCCGCCATGCCCCGGTGCGCGGGCAAAGGCGCTCCGCTGAGAGCCCATGCGCTCGCCAATCCGTCCCCGCGCGATCCGTGCGCCGCAGATCGCCCGGTCCCCGCCCGGCCTCGCGGAGGAGCGCCCCCCTCCGCCCCCCGCCCCCGGGCGGCTATAAGGGCCACCCGACCTGTCGGCCCCACACCGGACCGGTTGGTGATTGTATCGGCCTCTCTCTTACTCCCTGGTCTCGCCCAGTGTGTGTTACTCCGCCTGTGCCCCCCCCCCCCCTTCCCTGCTACTCCTCCCCCCTCCTCCCCTCGTCCGCGCCCCCTGTGTGAGCGTGAGAGCCAGAGAGACAGGCCCCCCCCCCCTCCTCCTTCTGCCGCGACCCGACGGTTTCCGATGTATGTGCCCCTGGCCCCGGCCTCTTGCCCGCTTCGCGTGCCGTCCTCTGACCACCCTGCCACCGCCATGTAGAACCCATCTGCCCGGTTCCCCCCCCGCCCCCGCCCTGCCCGCATGACAGCCAGTGTTGACGCTTCTGGCTCCGCGTCGCCCGGCTCGGTGGGGGGTCTCTCGTCCCCCGGCTCGGCCGACCCGGCCAAGCACCCGGCCATCCCGCTGGAGCCGCTGGCCCAGCAGCATGCGGCACCGGCCGACAAACCGGCCGACCCGCCGGCCGACAAACCGGCCGACCCGCCGGCCGATCCGCCGGCCGATCCGCCGGCCGACCGGTCGCAGCCCGCGCCCCGGCCCATCCATGTGTGGCACCTGTTTCGGTACGCCAGCCGAATGGAGCTGGCGCTGATCGCGGCCGGCACCCTGGCGGCGGCCATGCACGGGGCCCTGCAGCCCCTGTTCACCATCGTCATGGGGGACATTGTCAATGCCTTTGGCGACCCGAATGCCGACCTGGCCGGGGCCGTGGCCGGGAGCGCCGTGTGGTTCGTGGTCTTCGGGCTCATCTGCCTGGCCACGGCCTACATCCAGGCGGCCACCTTCATGTATACCTCGCACCGGCAGGCCACCCGCATCCGGGAGCTGTACTTCCACTCGCTCCTGCGCCAGGAGGCCGGCTGGTTTGACACCCAGCAGCAGGGGTCGGTCACGTCGCGCATCAGCTCCGACATCTTCCTCATGCAGGACGCCATCTCCGAGAAGTTCGGCGTCATGGTGCAGCACATCGCCCTCTTCGTGTCGGGGTTTGTCATTGCCTTTGTCCACTCGTGGCGCATGACGCTGGTGGTGGCCTCCCTGACGCCGCTGCTGGTCCTGTCCGGGGCCCTGTCCGGCTGGGTGATCAAGAACTTCGCGGCCGAGGGCCAGCGGGCGTACGCCGCCGCCGGGGCCGTGGCCGAGGAGGTCTTCGGGGCCATGCGCACGGTGGCCGCCTTCGGCGGGGAAACCCGCGAGATGGGCCGCTACGCGCGTGCCCTGGTCCCGGCGCTGCGGAGCGGCGAGCGCAAGGGCCACGCCAATGGCCTGGGCATCGGCTTCATCTACTTCGTCAATTACTGCTCCTATGGCTTTGCCTTTTGGTATGGCTCGACGCAGGTGAATGGCGCCCGCATGGACGCCGGCCAGGTGATCATCGTCTTCTTCGCCGTGATGATGGCCTCCACGGCCATCGGCCAGGCCAGCCCCAGCCTGACCAGCCTGGCGCAGGGGCTCGGCGCCGCGCGCGACATCTTCGCCGTGCTGGACCGCCAGCCGGAGATCGACAGCCTCAGCGATGAGGGCCTCAAGCCGGACACCGTCACCGGCGACCTGGCATTCCACGATGTCCACTTCACGTATCCCAGCCGGCCGGACAGCCAGGTCCTCAGGGGGCTGAGCTTGAGCGTGCCGGCCGGCAGCACCGTGGCCCTGGTCGGGCACTCGGGCAGCGGCAAGTCCACGCTGCTGCAGCTGCTCGAGCGCTTTTACGACCCGGTCGCCGGGTCCGTGACGCTGGATGGCGTGGACGTCCGGGACCTGTCCATCCGCTGGCTGCGCAGGACCCTGGCCCTGGTGCAGCAGGAGCCGGTGCTCTTTGCCGGCTCGGTGGCCGAGAACATCCGCCTCGGCAAGCCCGACGCCACGGACGCCGAAATCGAGGCCGCCTGCCGGCTGGCCAATGCCCACGACTTCATCAGCAAGCTGCCGGAGAAGTATGCCTCGCAGGTGGGCGAGCGCGGGGGGCAGCTTTCCGGCGGGCAGAAGCAGCGCATCGCCATCGCCCGGGCCCTGGTGTCCAATCCCAAAATCCTGCTGCTGGATGAGGCCACCTCGGCGCTGGACAACCGGTCGGAGCGCGTGGTGCAGGACGCCCTGGACAAGGCGGCCAAGGGCCGGACCACCATCGTCATTGCCCACCGGCTGTCGACCGTTCGCCATGCGGACTTGATTGTCGTCGTGGACAAGGGCGCCATCCTGGAGCGCGGCACCCACGACGAGCTGATGGCCACCGGCGGCCTGTACTCGCAGCTGGTCGAGCACCAGAGCCTGGCCGAGACGTCGGCCAACGCCCCGTCGGGCGCCGCCCCGAGCGGCCCGCATGCCGGCGACCAGGCCGACGACCACGACGACGACGACGACGACGACGAGGACCCGGATGCCGTGAAGCCCGCCGACTTGGCGGCCCTGCCGGCCGAGGCCCGCGACTCCCTGGCCGGGGACGATGTGCCGA